GGACTGATGGTCCTGGACTGACTGGTCCTGGACTGACTGGTTCTGGATTGACTGGTCCTGGACTGACTGGTTCTGGACTGATGGTCCTGGACTGACTAGTTCTGGACTCTGACAAGAACTCAGGTGAGGACCAGAGAGGATCTGGCCTCACCTAAAACAAAGATTTATGTTTTGCTCACACTAATAATAATAAAATTACATAAAATGTTAAAGATTTTGTTTATTCCAAAAATCAAATATTATTTCAGAATAAAAAAAAGCAGATAATTTTTTACTTTTAATATTTTACTCTGACAAATTTTTAAATTATGATTTAGGATTTGTTTTTTATTTTTAGGTTAAATTTTATTCCACAAAACGTTAAATTTGTGAGTTTAAAACGGGATTACCTCCACCTGGAGCGTACAGGTGTGTGGTAACACAACCCCAAGATGGAAAGACACCAGCAATGATCTCAGAGAAGCAGCTGTTGCTGCCTGTCAACCTGGGAGGGGTCAAAGGTCATTCAGAGTCCATCGTCCTACAGGAGATCATTTCAGACACCCTGAAGGTCAGACTATGCAGTGACTCTACAGGCCTCGGTCAGCAGGTCAAAGGTCAAAGGTCATGGCCTCTTCTCTCTATAAACAACATGGCGGCTTGACTAACCAGACCAAAGGACAGATGTTTACCCAGATGTTTAGATGATTATCATTGGTAAAATTTATTTAAATTGGTGTGTTTGGTCATCGGGAAATGAGGTAGAAATTATAATTATTTATTATTTATTTATTTATTATTTATTTAATTTGTGTGTATCTTAAATTTGGACCTTGTTGGTCTTTAAAAGTCTTACCTTTAACTTCCTGAAGCTTCCAGAAACTCTGTCAACGTCTTCTTTTAATGCTGCTCCTAAAGCCCAAACGGATTTATTTTGGTTCTGGTTCTGGCTGACCCTCCTGACATTTTGTCCCAACATTTGTCTCCTGTCCTCAGTGTCCCAGTGAGACGTACGACGCTCAGCACAAATCCACCAAGGACTTCCCCGACGAGGTGGTGAGCTTCATGAGGCAGCACCAGCTGATGTGGGAACCCGTCCTGCCTCTGGGGGGCCGGCCCGTCCTGACCCGGGTCAACTCCCCCTACCTGCTGAAGAAGGTGGTGGTGGACAGGGTGGACGCTGAGGACAGACCGTATGACGTCTTGCACCTGGGCACAGGTGAGCGGGAGGAGGAAGCTGCTTGTGTCCTGTCAGAACAGCGGTTCTGTCACCGGTGGGTGTCGTGTCCGTCCATCATCGTTCCAGATGATTCCAGATGTTCTGACCCGTCCCTCCTCATGGTGTGGAGACTCGTCCTGATCCTGCTGGACCTTTTCCAATCAGATCTTCATGGGTTTGACTCTTCTGAGATCTGATCTGACACGTTGTTCGAAGAAAGCTCGTTTCTGCAGCGTTGACGATGTGAACAGCCGTTTGGTTCTGGGTCCAAACTTCACTTCCACGCTGCGAGTCCAGGACTCTCCTCCCGGTCTTCAGTGAGAGGTGGACTTTGGTCAGGATGCCTGTTTGCCTGCAGCGTCCTGGTCTTGACTTCCTTCAGTCTGTTTTACTGGCGCACCCAGCAGCTTGGACCTCTTTTAAACTCGAGCCGTTCAGTTTCATGTTAAACACCGGTGTTTAACTTTGTTGTGTTTATCAGAGTTTTTGTTCCTCGTCATGAAACAAGTTTTTTTTTCTCATTTTGGAGCGTGGCTGCATCGAGGCATAAAAAAGGTCTCCATCAAAAACTGGATCATTACGTCAAAATCCAAAATGGCTGCCACCATGTATGTTTGTAAACTGTCCACCCCGATCATTTGAGGAAACTACGCTTTCGTTTCCTTAAACGATTGGGGTGTCCAAAGATTAATCGGTGGTGGCCAAGGCCACCGTTGGCCACCCCTTGGCTCCTCCACTGGACCTGGTCTTGGATAAAACTGCTCCCTCGGCTCTCCAGGGTCCGTCACTCTGCTCTGCCTAAGACAAAAACTAAAACCTGCGGTTCTTCTCCTCAGTGCAACTCCTCCACTTGAATATCTTGAAACAAAAACATTTAGGTTTACTTCAGTTCCAGACAGACACTCGTCAGGAACGGGGACGTCGGTGGACGTTGAGGCCGACTGTCTCTTCTTCCTGATCTTTGATGTTCGTATCGTTGGCGATGATCCTGTCCCCTCGACGTTCCTCCAGTAGAAGAGTCAGATGTTTGTGTTTGTTGACGAGCTGCAGACGCTCACAACAAAACGTTTGTGTTGCCTGATTAATGCTCCCGTGTTCTGACGATCTCAGAAGAACTGTTCTTGTTCTTTTGTTCTTGCCGTCCTGCAGACGATGGGAAGGTGGTGAAAGCTTTGTCCATCATCAAAGACAACTGGGAGACGGAGGAGGTCGTTCTGGAGGAGCTCACCGTCTTCCAGGTGAGATCCAGCTGCAGCCAGATGTTGATTTAAGATAAATATTGTTTTATCACCTTCGCTGTTCTGGGGTTTCTCTGAACTTCTGACCCAGACTCGCTCGTGGAGCTCCGCAGGACTTTTATGGCTAGAAGTATTTTTTTGTTTCTCCTGGCGTTCATCAGTCCTGCAGCCGATGACGTCCCGCGTGAGGCCGTCTCCGCTGGGACGCATCGGTCCCGACAAACTGCAGTCCTCTTAAAACCAGATCGTAGGGCACATATTTCCCAAGATCCTCGGCGTAAATAATCCGACCGAGGAGCCGCGACAAAAACCTGAAACAAAAAACCAGAATGAAAGAAAAACAGACAGGAAGAATTTTTACTTAGTGAATTAAAAGCTGATGGTTCCTGGGAGGAATGCTTGTCGCCCGCTCTCTTTAAAGAGTTTCAGACTAAAATAAAGTTTAATTTATAGCAATTTATTATAAAAACTACTGGAGGAACTCCTTAAAGACTGTGTTTATATTATTTAATGTATTTCATGTTTCTAACAAGTGTCTTTATCTTCTGTTTATCAATGTGATTATTTAAAGTTTTTATTGTTTATTTATGGAGTTTTATTTGTTCTTCCACAGAGTCCAGCTCCCATACTGAGCATGGAGCTGTCCACCAAGAGAGTAGGTCCTCCTGTTGTCCTCTTTTAGTCTTCCTGTTGTCCTCCTGTCCTC